ATGGTCACTTCTTCCCTGGATAATTTTTGTTGGCAAGGAGGATTGCATTTTTTTTCGCAATATATGGTGACCCCACTAGCCAGCCAGGAATTCTTTTTTGGTGGATATGGTGATGTGTGGGGCTTGTCCAATAGTGGGGTAAGTTATTACTACATGGATGGGTGTACCCATACAACATATCTGTAGAGAAATAGATGTATTGAGGCTATTTAGGAGAGCGGTAACATGATAGGATGGATGGGATGTGTTTCCTTTTATGACACCAACAGATCCTTTCCCTCTGAGATAAAATGCCCAATGGACATTGTATCTGTATGTATACCACATACTATTTCTGTGCTATCAAATGAGTGTATTGATCTAAACCAGTATAATTTTTGTAAAATAGGGATTGCATATGCTGTGATTCAGTAGGTGCTCCCCTTGCCTTATGGGTATTTATTAATGACAGTTTTAAACATACTAATTTTATCAAATCCGAAATAAAGTTTATAGTACATATTAGAGGGCTTTGGTGCGTAGGGACATACAGTCTTGTACAGTTTATCATTTTATTTGCCCCTGTAGTGTTTATATTAATAAACAGGCATTTGGTTGTTGAATATTCTTTGCATTCTTTACTACACTGCATTTACCTAGTTGATTTGCTTGTGTTTGAGTGTTGCGTCTTTTGGATGTACCAGCTTGGATTTCTGGGCTTGATAAAACACAGGGCTGCAATGTTTGTTAAAAGTCCTGCAGAGATTTTCTGACACTTCAGCCACATACATGATGACTATATTATATTATTCCATATGTTCTGCTTCAACTTAGAATGGGGTGGTTTCACAATCTTTACACCTTCCATTCTGTTCTTGAACAATCAAAATCGAGCTTGACATATTCCATGGTGACCTTGATGAGTTACCTGTGTTGATATAAAGGTTGGGAAATGTTTTTGACATTTATAAGAACTGAGAAAGAGTGTTGGATGAGTAGATAAAACAGGATTGTTGTATCTACAGTTAAAACCATTTGTTAGCGTCCATTAAGAAACACAGAAATCATGTACTGTGGAAGGAGGCCCTGAACCATGGACCCAGTGTGAAGCTGGTCAACCAGGACCCACCTAAACAGGTGCAACACTCACATTTTCATGAAGAGGAGAACTGAGGACTGAGGAGGTTGACAAGGAATTGGGTCAAACCCCAGTTTGCAGTGGAAACAAGTCTAGAAAAGGAACCTAAAAAAACAGGTCCTGGTGATAAAAAGGAAAACAAGCCAGTCTAGGAGGACAGCCTTAAGCATCTATACATCTGAACACAAGGGGTCAAAGAGCAAGAACTACATGTGTAATATTGGGATAGACAGCTACCTTGCTAAAAGAGACTTTTCTGGGAAGAACCCTGAATTTGGTTAGAACCATCACCTATGAAAGCTGTGAAGTGACTCCTGAATTCACCAAAAGTCTAGGATTAAGTTCCAAGAAGTCAGCATGACTGAAGTGGTAGGATCATGGGGTGCAACATAATCAAGGTAGGCAGGAAAAGGGGTTAGATACTAACTATAATTGTTACGGCATAAATCAACCCAGATGGCGCTGAAGATGAAACTAGATGCTCCCCACCACTAAGAATGTAAGAGGCACTTAAGAGGAAACCTGCTAAACAGGCAATCCTTCCTATCCTTGACCTCAAAAGCCACTAGACTAGAAATGCTCCTGATTATCCAGGTCCAACAAAGCAGCGGCATTCACAGAGAAAGACCTTTGAAGTATACAGAAAAATCATCCCTAGAATCACTAAAAGAGTGTAAGCTGGGGTCACCCATAGCATGGAACTGTGCCAATCATGTCTAAATACAGACAGATTGTGACCACATAACAGTTATATAGCTAGGTTCAAGGTACAAGGCTGATACTTAAAAACTCAGGCAGCTTGTGGCTGATGAAGGTCAGAAGGTTGATGGACAGTAGGAATAGATCAGAGATCAGAGCTCCTTATTGTTTTTTGCAAAGCAGAAGTGGCAGTGGGTCAATGTTGTCTTTAAGCTGAATATCAGGAAAAAGAGATGCCAACTCTCAGTCCCTCATCATTAACCCCTTCCATGGTAAAACCAGCAATAGCGGAAAATTCAAAAGTCACATAATGGTGCAAATAACGAGGTGACTCCCAGTGCTTCAGTCTGACTAGCCTGCACCTGCATGGAGTTTATATGTCCTCCCTGTGCCTGCGTGGGTACTCTAGTTCAGATACTCTAGTTTACTCCCCCACTCAAAGACATGCTGGTAAATTAATTGGCTCTTGTCTAAATTGGCTCAAATATATGTATGTATGAATGTATATTAGTGACCTTTAGATTGTAAGCTCCTTGAGAGCAGAGATTAATGTGAATGTACAATATAAGGGTAAAGCACTGTGTAAATTGTCGGCACTATATAAGTACCTGTAATATATAAATAAAGCTGATCTGAAGAACTGGCATGAAGAGAGTATGCCAACCAGTGATGTGGCAAGGAATCTTGATTGAAGTCAGTTTGAGCAATAAATTGAAGAAACAATCAACAACAGGATAGAAAAAAATGTAGGTTTTGCTCAGTAGAACTGAAAAAAGATGCATATACTCCTAGAACAGGGGTCTCCAAACTTTCTAAACAAAGGGCTGGTTTACTGTGCTTCAGACTTTAGAGGGGATGTAATGTGGCCAATGGGAGTAAAAAAATGTCACATCTCTAGTATTAGGGGAAATATTAGTCCCTATTGCTGGTATCAGAGGGGGGGCATAGTGCCCCACCGTTAGTGTCAGTGGGAGGAATAGTGCCACACTGTTCACACTGGTGCAGGAATTATTGCCCATTGTTGTTGTCAGTTGGAGGAATAGTACCCCAAGGGCTGGGTAAAGGTATGCAAAGGGCCACATTCTGCGCCTGGGCCGTAGTTTGTCCAATCCTCCTGTAGGTATCAGTGTAACCCAAATGTATATGATTCCTGTGCCCCCCAATGGTCCAATGAACTGTGACTGACTGATGCTACCTATATCATGACCTGAATATATGAGAAACTTCACAGACCTATTCTTTCATTGCTAATTCATAGATTATTCTTACCCCTGCCCACCACAACCCTGTTTACTTCTGAATAAATTGTGAGAAGACAATTCAGTATTGCATGTCTCATGTACTCTACCAGGAGTTTCTAAACTTCATAGCAAAACAATTTCCCCTCCAACTTTTTCCAACCTCAATTCTTCTGCTTGACAAAAAAGTACAATAAAATATAGATATGTCTAATCTCCACATACTGTATTAAGTACATATCCTTTATGTGAAGATGAAAAGTAGGCTGAAATGATATACTTGTCTTCACTTTTTTCTGCATTTTTACCTTGTTCTTAAACATAGAGATCCAAAACCAGCCAAGAAGGTGGAGGAATGGTTTGGCAGTCATTCACATGCAATCAGAAACATCGCATGGGTAGTTACTAGTAGAACTTTATTGTAACTTTCTGTTCTATTATTAGACTTTCAATTAAGATGGTAGTGTATAATAACATGTCTATTATTTTGAATTAGGCAAAGTGAAAGTTGTTCTGTCCTGGTAGCCTGAAATGTTAAATGTATATACTGTATTCCTTCAATTGTGTAAAATAATTATTTACCTAAGGCTGCTTGAATGTACCACTTAACTTAAATTTGTATCCCAGGTTACACATACAATAGAATTTGGGATTGTAATTACCCTTGACAGCACAAAATACATTTCTCATTGATTTAGTACTGCATTTTCCTGTGCTTATATGAAGTTTGTTTACCCTTAGATCTTGGACACTACAAATTCATTTCCTTTACAGGTGTCAAGGGAATGTAGAAATTTAGCGTGTAGCTGTAACATCATTGATGCAAATTACTCTTCGCAATGAATCTAAACAGGAATGTTTATTGAGTGGGCTTCTTACTATGTAGCATTTCCTAATCAGTAATTACATAGTGATTTCTTTCACTCTTTCAGATAAGCGAGTGGAAGAGCATATATGATTCTTCTCACCCTAATGAGATGGAACTACCAGACCCATGGGAGGATCTTTTGACTGATTTTCAGAAATTACTGGTACTTCGCTGTGTAAGACCTGACAAGGTAAATGTATATGTGTTTTACGATTTTGTTTTTCAAAAACACGTCTAAGGAAACTCTAATAATGCTTTGTACTTAAAATACAAGAAATAGGGATAATATACTGTAAATAGATTTAGCCATAAAGACACCCTGTCACCAGGCCATTATTTCAAGTTTATGTTTATTTAACATATTTTGTGCATGTTATTTACCTGCAATGCTATAAGTTGGTGATTTACTGTGTGGCAAAATTGTTTTTGAATTAGGGGGGGTATTTTTTCACTTTTCAGAGGCAGTTGATAGGTGGCTCAGAGATGATATGCCACCTCCTGGATGTCTGTTTTGACCAAAGAAAACCCAGAGCATCGTGCTGCATGCAACTCCATTACACGAGGTTGTAGTGTGGTCCTGTGTACTTGAATGTGTTGCATGTGGTCGCATTAGGTTCCATCTGCCAAACAAAATATTATGTATCATTTTGCCACACTGAAAGCATTGTAATTTGTACTACCATGGCTACTGGCTATGTTAACTTGCGGCTTGGTGAGCAGGAAGCAGTAAAACCATGGCTCAATCACCTGTTTTTTACCCTCACTCAACCGCCCATGTAAACAAGGCAATAATGTGAAAATACAACTCAAAATACAATCTCACTAGAAATATACTATAATTTCCCTTTAAATAAAGAACAGGAGCAATTAAAGCAGAACATTAAAAATTAATCTTCCAATAAAAAATAAAATAAAATGAAGCTTTTGCATAGTTGCTGTGCATCCAGCAAACCAATGCAGGCAGACAATGCATTTTAATCAGGGGTGGGGCATTCATTTAAATGGGCATGGTCTACAAATGGCATATTTTTTATTCTATTGTACAGTCATAAAAGGGACTGAAACACAGCCAAGAATGTATTGACATGGGAAGATTTATTATAATAGGGACAGAAACACAGCCAAGTCGGTATTGCTCATTAGTAAAAAAAATCAGGGGCGGACTGACCATTTGGAAACTCGGGCACTGCCCGAGGGCCCGGGGTCAGTAGGGGGCCCCATGAGATGCCCCTGGTACCTTTTTCATAGGCTTTTTTGAGTTTGGGCAAGGACACAGGGGCCCCATGATCCCCTATTGCCCGGGAGCCCCATGAGTTGTCAGTCCGCCCCTGTGTTATATAACTCTATTTTGCTAGCTACAACCAACAGTCTATTTAAAGTGTTGCAACCCAACAGCTCTTGAAGGGAATATAGTAATAAATACAAATTTCACTGCAAACACATTTGGCATAAATTTGACATGGACCTTCCTGCTGAGTACTGCAATGCCTGTTGGGACTGCTGATGGGTTGAAGGCTTTTGTAGGTGGCAAAAATCCAGTGTATTAAAACTAGTTAGGAAGGATTATACTTTGGTGAATTCTGAATATTGTAGAGCAAAGGTGAAAATCTTTTGCATGTATATATCCAAAAGGGAAGCGATGATGCCCAGGCCTCGTGCAGAAGTACTACCTGTACCCCTCTGTTTGAGATCCTGGATAACTGCTGTCCTTTGCTGCAGTATTTATACATCGGTTGCATGCAATATCTTGGCCCTCCTTCTGCTGTTCTTGTACACTAGGTTATGAAATAAAGATCGTAAGGCAAATATTCCCTAGCACTATTGACTTAGATAAGTTGCCTCATCTGGTCCTCAGGCAGGAGGTTACTTGACATCCAGTATGGTGTCTACACTTACAATGAAGATCAATGGGTTGTGGGTTGACACTCCAAGAACAAAATAAGGAGTAACCTATTGTGAAAAGACATAATCATTTACATGGCTTAATATGATAATGAAATAACATTTTGACTACTTGCCATGACTGTTTGCCCGCTGATTTGAAACATTTAGAGGAAATCTTACTAAGCTTGTAAGATCTCCAATAATTGGGAATGCAGCTTGAGCAAATCCAAGCGCTCAGAAGACTCACTGCTAGATTCCATGAGTGAGATAAGGAATGCAAACAATATGTGTCCGTATCTCCATCTGAAATAAAGGTTTAAAGAATAATGATACATTAAACACCAAAGCTGCCAAAGCAATCCTCAATGAAGCACGATATTAAGGAGCTGTTAATGAGCACTAGTGTGCTGTGGCCAACTTCAGGATTGGCAGTGGTAGCATTGTTTGAAAATACTAAAATGAGCATTGGCTGCCATGTTGATTAACTCTGATGCTGAAATCTGAATTCTCTTTAACAACTCCAGCCTGCAGAAACTGTAATGATATATTTAAATGTGCAGGCTACAATAAAGATTGCTATTTCCTAGACAAATCTGTCTGCCTATGAAATATCTTGGTATTGTGTGAGTCTGAATGTGTAGCATTGGCCCAATGCACTACTGATAACAAACTACCAGAGGTCTGCCATATTAGGCTGCTCACATTACACTTGTGAGACCTCCACACTGCTGGGAGTTGCCCCCTGAATGCACCATCCAGCACACTGCTTTGCAAGGTGACTCCCCTCACGTTTCTATGTGCTGTCTATGTCATGGGGCATGAAGCAAGGGTGTGGAGATCAGAACATTCTGCTGTGTGCTGCAGAGAGGATGAGCCTGTGGAAGGGATTCTGGGACCCAATTCAAGACAGCCATGGCAGGACAGCTTACTAAAAAATGGGAATGTCCTGGCAAATTCGGGACAGTTGATATTTAACTATGCTTTTGTTGCAATATTCACATTCAGTACAGCAGTACTTCCACCAAAAAATGCCCTCTGATGGCCAGCAAAATTCAACCCACATTTCCTAAACCAGGGGTTAATGGATAAATTTTGCTTTGAGATTGAGGCTTCTGTATCATTTCAGCATGATATGATTCACAACAACATGCCCCCTTACATCAGAGTCATCTTTAGGTCAGAGTCCACATCAGAGTTCCCCCTTACATCAGGATGCTTCTTTTATCAGAGTCCACGTCAGAGTCCCACCTTCCATCTGGATCCCCGTCAGAGTCCCCATTACATTGGCTGTGGGCCAAATAAAATTTTGTAGTAGGCAGTGTGTGGCCATAGACCCCTGCTGTAAATCCAGACAGTCCTGGACCTGCCCCAGTCTGTGAATGAACGATGAAAGCAAAAGCAGTACAGTGTAAAGCTCATCTCTCTGTCACTGTTTGTCTTCATATCAGCATGCTCCTTGTCAGCACATAAACTGATTGGTTATTTAATGACATATTAATGATTGCAGAGCCTATTGTATCTGACTGCAGTTCAGCCTTACATAGGAGACACAGTATAAATAGATTTCTGCAGTGTACAACAACCATTCAGGCTTTTGTATCTTATTCAAGCTATAAAATAAAACAAATACCAAAATTGTTGTTGATTACAACAGCTATGCCAGTTATCAACCAATGTTTCTGAATTCCACAATATTTCATTGATATTATGTAGCCTAAACACTTACACGTTGTAGAAAATGGGTCTCAATCCATGGGTATGAAAATGAAAGCTTAACACATATTACAGACAAAAAATAAAGAAAAGGCTGCTTGCGCTGTTATAGGTCCCCTTTTAAAAAATATTTTGTTTGGAAGTGGACACAGCTTCTACAATAAATAGAAAAGTACAACAGCTGATCCTTTCTTTTAAGGAGCAGCAAAGGACATAATGAAAATTTCATGTGCAAGGAATGGAAAATTTAAGTGAAATATATTTTTGACAAGAGAAAGCAGCAGGTCCTTCTCAAATCATGCCAGCTCTTTTTAATGGTGAAGACTGACACTCAGGAACCCTCATTGCTTTTATTGTACTTTCCAAAAAATATTACAGCAGGGAAGAAACAGCAGATGTTGATTCCCAATATTTTATAGCAGCTCAGTGGTACCTCTCTTCGATGCAGCCAAACTTTCTGGGGGGGGTACTTTTGAAGAGTAAATAATTAGGTCAGATCTATTAAATAGGAACAGAACTTCAACTAATTTGAAGGGACCTCAGACTGTGTGTCTTTGCTGTGTCCAATATGTGACTAATATCAATAAATTAACTCCATAGGACATTTACTAAGCCGCAGAAATGAAGAAGCACTGTGATGCATTTCCTTCAGGGAGGATTACAAGCTATTTCACCTTTCTATTTGTTCTGTTTCTATGCAAGCTTAACTGGGATTGTTTTGCTGAAATAAAGTGATAAAGAGTGTTGTGCTGAGAGTACATACAAATATATGAGATCTATTAACCTTAAGCTGCCCATGGGCATTAGATGACAGTTTCCTAATCTTGCTGTCTTTGAATAGATCAGGCCACAATCTCTTGTCTATGGACCCTGCAAAAAATTATAAAATTAATCCCCAGGATCAAATTAATTTTGTATGAAGGTTTCAAGGATCACAGATCAAGGGTTACCGAGGGAGCACATAGATGAGAGAGGCCAGCTGATGCCCCAGGTATAGCCGTCCATCACTTGTCCCCAGATATCAACCACCACACTGGCCAGTTATAGTGAGAACTCCAAAGCCCCACATTTTGGACACAAGAAGCAGCCAAAAAAAAACAATATAATACATGTGCACGCCAATACCTGAACTGCTACCACTCATAAATTACAGACCAGAGATGAACTGTGTTTTTGATACTTTTAGTCTAAACACTCTGTATTCTAGCAGACTAGCACACAAGACTTTGCAGACCAGGCGCAGTGCTCTCACTAGCAGAGATGTGTTAGCTAAGCCAAACACATGCCACTACCACCAGCTGCCACTAGGGTGTGACCACCCAAAATCTAGCTGGCTGGATACACATGTACAGATGCATATCCTATGTAAAATCTGGTGCACTCTAATGGTTGGGTGGTAGTCAAGTGATTGCCATGTGCTTCTGAGATTTTCAGGCTATTCTGTGAGCAGAGATCCTCAAGCAGTAACCTTTCCCACTGCCCGCACACATGCATTAGACACACCCATTGGCCATACTATCTTCTACATATGAATAAGCATTCCGATTGGACATCTTGTTCCCTGTCTGCCAACCTCTGCAATTGCAGAAAACTTGAGGCCACAGTTATACTAGGCAATCTCACACGAATTAGCATTGATAATACAATACAATTACATGCAACAGTCTCTACAGATTTGTGCATTCTCTATAGCAATTAAAAAACAGTTTATAATTTTTTTATATTTAATATCCCTAGGCATGCAGCGCAAAGATGATTACAAAAAAAACTACAAAAAGAATATTAAGGAGTTAGGCATACATACTGTACTATCAAACAAGATTAGAATAAAAGGGGTAAACTTACAGAAATTAATAAAGAGTTAAATACAAAATGTGGAACTTCACAGTGGCTAAGTGGTTAACTAAGGTTGTTGGTCTGAACCCCAACCACGACACTATCTGCTTGGAGTTTGCAAGTTCCCCTTGTGCATGCGTGAGTTTCCTCTGGGTACTCCAGTTTCCTCCCACACTCCAAAGACATACTGATAGGTTAATTAACTAAGGTTAATTGGATCCTGTCCAAATTGGCCCTACTATGTGTATGTATGAATGTGAGTTAGGGGCCTTAGATTGTACGCTCCTTGAGGATTAGAAAATGATGTGAATGTACTATATACTGTATACGTAAAGCGCTGAGTATATTGACAACGCTTTATAAGTACATGTACTACATAAATTCCCACCACATTAAAGACCCCCCTAGGTATGGTGAAATTTGGTTTCAGATCTCCACTGCTATACCATAAAGATCAAAAGTTCCTACCCACTCTGAGGATGGATGGGTCTTGACCATAGAGGGATAGAATTTCAAAAGAAAGTCATATGAGAATTCTTAGAACATTTGAATTTTTTTTAAAGATTTTGTTTGCTTTTAACATTTGATTTTGGAATGAATGGACCTTACCAAACAAAAGCCACATACGCTGTTAGAAATGTGTTCATTTAAGAAATAATATCCATCCTGCTCCTTCAATTTTCTTGTCACTG